ATCTCTCATAAAATTAGCGGTCGTGTTTCATCAATTAAGACGCAGCACTTTAAAAATTCATAGACACCTTTAAGTTCTATCCTTCTTATTGTATTTTCTCCTACAAAAGATCTAAATAGTAAAAATGGAAATGCGATACAAAAATGATAACACATCCCTACTGACATATGTAAATTACGTGTCCTGTCTACTTCCCATACATGAATATGCTCACGCCTATGTGCCTCTTGATTGAGGATAGTTGACTGACATTCCAAAGTAAATATGTACCAAGCTACATACATCCATACATACTCATGTGTATGTACGTATGTACACATAGTCAACACAAACACGTTAACGTAGACATTTTTGGTTTCAGTGTTTTTTGGGGGATCAATGAACGCAAAATTATGTCTCCCCTTCCCATAAAATTGAGGAAAAGGTCCTTGTAATTTATTATGCGTGTTAAAAAAAAAACAATACAACTCAAAAGACAAAATTGTGTGTAGAAACATACAATTTAAGGAAGGACAAGAAAGGGTTTCGATATAAAAAACAACACTTCAAAGCTTGTGATTTTCAAATCATGAACATTATTGCCATACATATGGCAAGAACAGGGAAATACTTATTAAATAACTTTCAAGTGAATAAAGGTTTGCAGTATAGGATTATTTTTCGTTGTTTGGTAACCGAAAAAATCAGACGGAAAACTAATGAGATTTTTAGAGAATTTTTATGGGAAAATAGAAATTTAAAAATACTTTGGAATGTTATCATTGATGTAGGAAGGATATCTGAAGGATAAAATAATAAAAATATCTCGTCAAAATTTTTATATACATACCCTTTTATAAAGACGTGTTATAAATAAGCAAATCTTTGAGGTGTGAGGATTTTTTCATATTTGTTATATCGTAAAAAATTAAAACGCTATGTAGCCCAATTTAAATTGAAACAAATCCGATTTGTATATAGAAAAGACATCTTGAAAATAAATAGAATACGCACATGGTTATTAGTGGGGAACAAGCTCCCTTTGAATAATATTAAGCTGGACTTTTAATTCAAGAGACTTTGATTTAAATGGGTTAAAAATATCTATGGCACTGTTTATTTATTAATTGTTCCGTTCTTTAAACAATGCCAGAAAAATCGAATTACACAGATTTCTTATATCCGAATAGAGAAAAAATTAAAAATCAGGTAAGTTCGAGCGGGCCGAACCGTTTGGAAAAACTTGAAAATTTTCAAAAATTCAGAAAAATGCCGCTTAAATGAAACCCGTTATATGGGTCTATACGAAGATGAGGATTTTCATAAGTAAGTTTTTCTCATAGACTGTGGTACCCATTACGAAATACCGTATATTGGGAGATAACATTATAAGTGGGCTATACAATGACGAGGACCTGCATACGAATTTTTTTTATAGGCTGTAGTACCGAACTTCAAATATGAAATTTGAAACAATTGCGGTGAATAATGTCGCTAAAGTAATGAACATACCGAATTTAGGGAGGGCCATATGAAAACGTGGACCGACATGACCTATTTACTTAACCTGCCTATTAGCATATACACGTGTTCAAAATTTTAGCCTTCTATTTCAAATCCTTCGAAAGATAGCGTGATTGCGCCAGACAGACGGACATCACTAAATCGACATAGAATTTTACGCAGATCCAGAATATATATACTTTATAGGGTCTATTATGAGTATTTCGAAGAGTGTCAAACGGAATGGTAGAGGGTATAAAAACTCTTAAACAATAGATTTTGTTGTTGTTTGGCTTAAGGCCAATAGTATCATTTTCCTAAAACACTGTGCGACAAAATTCAATTTATTTTTTTAATTATATTTTTATATATTTTTTTTTTATTAAAAATTCAGGAAGAACGTTTGCTTAAAGTATTCACCAATTGGCTTAAGTATATATTTCTTTATTGAAGAGAGCAATATTTCTCAAAACAAAACTGAAAAAAAAAACAGAAAAGAAACGGTAAGATATTAGATGTGTATCTGCGGTTTGAAAGTTTTCATCGGAATGTAACCGAAAAAGAGCAGGGAAGTTCCATCAATTTTTACATTATTTAAAAATATTCGAGTTAAGATTCCTGGGAATCTATACATTTTTGGGGTGTGGTATTTCCGGCAATATTATCGGCAAAAAAACCTAGGGATATTTTTGTAAAACAAATTCACCACCAGTCGAGGCATTAAAGGGGCCTTTCAAAAACTTCCCTAGTTGAAATCGTATAAGAGAAGAATATTCTACAAAATTATTCGTCGTAAATCTTTCTATAAGTCTCAGAGTACACAAAAAGTAAAAACGGAAAATCGATAAAAATAATAAACTTATTTTTGGGTTAATGTCATACTCCATCTAAAATTCGCTATAAATCACCAAAGATATTAATTCTGTATTTTCATTTTATATCAACAAAATATCTGTACCAATTTTGCCAAATACACAATATCCCTCTAATTTTTTTTGCAAAATTGTTCTTATTTTTATACCCTCCACCTTGAAAAGAAGGGTATATTAACTTTGTCATTCCGTTTGTAACATCCTTAAATATTCGTCGTAGACCCCATAAAGAATATATATTCATGATCAGCATCTAATTCTAAGTCGATTTAACGATGTCCGTCTGGCTGTTGAAATCACGATACAGCCCACTTACTTAATGTAGAGCTTCAAAATTTGGCTGAGCAATTTGTATTGTGTCTAGGATAATTGGTATTGAAAATGAGATATATCGGTCCACGTTTGGGTATAGCCCTCATATATTCGGTCTTTTGATAATTTTCGCTACATTTTTCCACCGATTTGTCGAAAAATTGGTATTTGTAGGTCATAATGGGTTCTAGCTCTGGTATCGAAACGTTGTATGTATAGGTCCACGTTTTCATGAAGTTCCCATATAATGGTACCTCCCGAGGTTCTGTACTTTGATGATTTTTAGTGGTAGCTCCGGTGGCGAAATATTGTATGTATGGGTCCAAGTTTTCGTATAGCCCCCATATAATGGTACCTCCCGATATTAGGTATTTTGACGATATTTGTCACATTTTTTAACGGATTTGTCTAGAATTTGGTATTTTTAGTTTATAATGGGTTCTAGCTCCGGTGGAAGAACATTGAATATTTAGGTCCACGTTTTCCTATAGCACACATATAACGGTACCTCCCGATACTCAGTATTTTGATAATCCTAGTCACATTTACCCACGAAACTGTTTCAAATTTGGTATTTTAGAAGATTTTGTAGATGACAATCCTTGAAGCATAAAATTGTCTATAGAGGTTCCCGTTTTGGTATGGCCCTCATATAACAGGCTCACCCACTTTGTTTTTTTCAAAAGTTTTAACGCACTATCCAAACGGTCTTACTGGTATATGAAGTTTAAAGTGGAACACGTTTGAATTCAGATACTTTTATATAAAAATGTTTTCTTCATCCAATGGTGGAGGGTACTAAAATTAGGTCCGGCCGAACTAATTGTTCTTTTATTTTTTTATAAAATTGTTCTTATACTTTTTTAAGTTGATGCGTGAAAGTAATATAAAAATTAGTTTTAGACGGACAGTGTCGAAGGAAAAAAAATAATACCTATTACATTTTACTATTAATGCCCTCCACCACGTTTAAATAGCGAGCTTTTCTTACTGAGATTTATAGATTTACTTAAATGGTAGCAAAAATAGGACTCATTGAATGTGCAATGTATATCCGCCGATAAAATTAAAATTACTGTAAAAATAGTCGTGTATCAAAAAAGTACATTTTATTACAAAAAAATTAACTATTACAAATTGCAGAACATATAGAAGTACCAATCCACAACAATTATGTATTCTTCCTAAAAAATCAACTCAAAAAATTGTTCCGAAAAATCAATTTGTAAGTTTTGTACCCAAAAACAAAGGGTATCACATTCGCTGTACAATTTGTATACTTCAGCTGCAATTGTACGGATTTTCTTTAGAGAGTTGCCAAACCCCACCACAAAAACATTTAGAAAAAGACGTGCGATTTTTCATATTTCTCAATTACAGACAATTTCTGCAGAAAATTATCTATATCGAATATTTTTGTTACGAAAGTCCCTTGTCCACTGTAGGTCAAACAGAATATTTTCATAGATTTGCATTAAACTCATTTCTCAGCTTAGGTCGGCCGGCAGACGGGCTAAAGCTTCTCGAACAACACAATCCTATTTATATTACTAATGATCAAGCTACGCATACAATACAACATTGTAAGAAACCCATATAAATAAAATACTATCATCTTGTTATTTTAAGAAAATCTGAAAATTTTCCTCAAAAAAGTGCGTAATATGTATTGCGTAGTTTCAGAATTATTTATATATATTTAGTGCTGTTAAACATCTTTGAACTTTAGCCTGTGACAAAATGCTTTCATTCCTTTTTTGCTTCCACATGCCTAAAAGAAAACCAAAGCTATTCTTTAAATTGAATTTCAATGGCATGTTTTTGTGACATTATCCTTCTGGGAAGAAGTCCAAACTGGAGGGGGCGCGGGGTCGTCACACACAATAATTCGAGCAACATGTCCTTTTAACGCTTCGGCATACGGACAACAAATACAATAAATAAACACAACAAGGAATCCTACATTTCGTTCCGTTTTTTTTTTTTGTTTTGTATCGTTTACCCCGTTCAACATTTACGATGTTTTATTGTTTCCACTCGGAGGACACTTATGAATGTCGATGTTGTATACACAGACCGCCAGTCTAAGTCGGCAACAACAAACCCAAACAAATATGTACATATGTATGTAGGTTATAGCAATGAGTGTGTAAATAAATACCAACCCATGCATTCTGACAAAGTAAATTTTAATTTTGATTCCTGTGAATTGTTGAAGGTCTACCAGAGCACAGCAACATTGCACAAATGTCTCAGAACAGCTAAGGCTCTTTGAAAGTATTAACGCATTTTCTGTTTCTGTTTCGTTCTGCTCCCATTGCTGTTCACTTACAGTCCATCCTGTCCAATGAATACAACATCGCCGAAATCGTCGTTGGCTAAACTTGGTATTCATACCAAACAGAAATCGCTGAAGGTCATGGTTTTGGGTCAAAGTGGAGTGGGCAAAACCGCCATGGTTGTACGTTTCATAACCCGCCGTTATATTGGAGAATACGATCCGAATTTGGAGAAAGTTTACACATTCAACACGACCTTAGATAATGATTATGTACAATTCGATATCCTGGATGCTACGGGACAACAAAATGTAAGCAATGCGATTTTGGAATATTTTAAGACATTTTCATTGGCATCATTTTTGTTGCTTCTATCATTCCAGGAAAACGATTGCAGTAACTTGGAATCGAACATACGCTGGGCTGATGCCTTCATTTTGATGTACTCCGTCACCGACAAGTGCAGTTTCGATGAATGCAATCGGCTGAAGTTTCTCATCAACTACAACAAGAAGCGGCGTAAATTGGGCTCAAACAACAAAGACTATATGTCGGATGTTCCGGTGATATTGGTGGGCAATAAAAACGATCAAACTGGCGACCGCATGGTCAGTGTAGAGGAGGGTCAAAGAAGATTTCGTGAATTATCCTGTGCCTGCTTCCATGAGATCTCGGTTAGGGAAAGTGTCGATCAGGTATGTGGCCAAAAAGAAGCCAGAATTTCCAACCACTTCATATTTTTTCTCCCCTCTAGGTGCAAGATGTATTTCGAGATGTATTCCGGTTTTGGCGTGTATCCAGTAAAAATCCCAAACTCAAACGTTCCACAAGTGATGTTCAAAACGAGGCCATTAGTCCCGATTCCGGTTGTTCATTTTATGAGACAGCTTCGCTGGCCAATGAAACAAGACGTTCCTTTTTGGTTATCGGCAGTGCCTGCCTGGAGGAAAATGACCATTCCGAATCGAATGATGACATGAGATCGAGTAGCTTGAATAGTTCGCACAGTGAACTGGAGACACCATTCCGTAGCCGGGCCTCAACCGATGGCACTTTATTGTCGAGACCTCGTCGCTGGCGCTATCCACCACCAGGTTGTCTTCTACCCCACACAAATCGTGTTGAACGCCGCATGAGCATCTCGACCCGGGGAAGTAATGCCAGCTACTAAATTAGCTATCAACTGTGTAATTGTCACCAATGAAAACTGACTGTGTAAATAGCTTAGGACAAATTTGTATTTTATATGTATTTATTTATATATTGTACCAAAAGAAAATTTAAAAAAAAACAGTGCAAAGATATACAGACCAACAACTACATGAGTGTGAGTGCGTGTGTTTTACTATATGGATGAGTAGGCTCCTCTGAGATTCAGGTTTGGAATTTAATCATCATCGATTTTAAGTAAATATTCCTCGGCCCTTAACGCCAATTCTCGTATGTTTCGCAAACAGCCAGCAGCTGCCAATTGCAGTTCTTTGTTGGTGGAACCCACACATTCCAATAGAAAGGGTACCACGCCACTCTGAAAATATAATTAAATTATTGTCAAATTAAAAATAATTCATGTTTTTATATTCTCCAAAATTGTATATTAATTTTATCATTTCATTTGTAACTACTCGAAAAACTCATGTTAGATCCAACAAAGTACATGGTGAGATAAAAAAACTGCAACAAAGTCAAACGCCATAATTTTTAAATTTTTTTTTTTAATTAATGAAAACAAAAAATGTCGAAAATAGCATCAAATTTTAGAATAAGCGTAGATTTGTTCGACTTGGTCAGCTTTGGGAAGAATTATGGCCTTCAAACGGTCATTGTGCGCTGGAAATGAAGCAAGAAACCTCATTTTGTAACAATTCTTGGGTTGCGCGTGCTTAGTGTTTGCGTGCCCAAGGTTTTAATACATCCTACAGAATTTTTTCGCGATAATGTTCGGCATATATTCTGATGCCACGGTCGATTAATACGAGCGGAGAGCGGCCATCGGCTGTTATGGCGGCCCATACCATCTCCATGGCCGGCGCTTGAGTTCTGGTGGTCATCCGAAGGTGCACATTTTCAGCTGACACCTTTGGTAAATAAACACGATAATTTTGTTTGTTTACAAACTGCTGGACAACAATTGTTTTCTCATCGGAGAGGGAGAAAAACCAATTCGACATTTCACCACTTTCGGCTAAGCGAAGCAACTCTTTAGCTCTTTTGAGTCTATGTTCTTTCTGTTGCGGTGTAAGTTCTTGCACTTTTTGGAATTGCAATTTCAATGGCTTTACCCCGAGTTCATTTTTCAATATTTGCCGAATAAAGTATTGCAATATGTTTAGCTCACGAGCCATTTTTCAGCCACTGCGACGCGGGTTTCGATCAAGTCGCTTCTTTACTTTTCGAACGATTTCTGCTGATGTTACTGTTTTCATCCGTCCACTTCTTTGACCTCGGGCTACGCTACCAATATCATGGTAACGAGCGATAGTACGAGACACAAACGATTTATTCACATTTAAATGCTGAAGTGCTCTAACGATAGCCACTTGTGGTTTTTCAGCCAAATATAAAGAAATCACACTATCACGCTTGAATTCCATCACGAATAACATTTTTTCTGGAAAATGCTCACCAAAATGCTTTTGTACGCTTGTAAACAATATAATGAGCTGTCACTGGAATAATTATAACAGCTGTCGGACGAGTGGCTTAGAAATGATAGCAGTCTGAAGTTGGTTGCAGTTTTTTTCATCTCATCCTGTATATTCTGTATCAGTGTAAAATTCTAAGTCATTTTACCGATGTCCGTCCGTCTGTTGTAATTGCGCTATTTTTCGAGTTAATGGGGATAGAAGGTTAAAATTTTGCACACATGTGTATTTTTTCAGTAGCAGGTTAAGTTCGTCAATGGGCCACGTTTTCCCAATATTGGGTATTTTAATGATTCTAGAGGCATTATAGACCGAAATTGTTTCAAAGTTCGTATTTGAAGTTCGCAATGGGTAGAAAGACAAAAAATTGTGTATGCAGTTCCACGTTTTCGTATAGCCCCCATATAACGATACCTCTAGATATTCGGTATTTTGATGATTTTAGCGACATTGTTTACGGGAATTGTTTCAAATTTCGTATATCAAGATTTTATAGGTGCTACAAGCTATGACAAAAAATGGCATATGCAGGCCCATTTCTTCATATAACGTTACTCCCCAATATTCGGTATTTTCATGGTATTAGAGACATTATTCACCGGAACTGTTTCAAATTTCGTATTTGGAGATCAGAATCGGTACTACAGCTTATGTTGTTCCGTATAGCCCCAAATAACGGTTTTTTAAAGTTCCACCCAAATGGTGGAATGTTTTAAAAGTTCGGCACGGCCGAACTTAGCTGCTTTTTACTTCTAAATATTTCAATTTTATTTACCTGATGCATGGTAATACAGTTTTGTGGATCCATGGATAATTTTTCCAAAGCCATTGCCGTAGTGCGATGTACCTCGGGGTCATCGCTTGTCATATAGGAAACAATTGGTGTAACTGTACGAAGACGTCCCAACTCTTGCGTATTATTGCCATATGTTGCACAGCTTGCAATAGCCGCAGCCAGATTTTTCCTCAACAGATCCTCGGTGGTATTGACTAGATATGAAGGACATGGAAATTGTATTGCTCAATTATTTCATTGAAAGATAACAAAAAAAATTGTAACAATAAATCCTGATCCTGGTGGCGCAAAAATAGTCCTCCTATCAGAAAATGCTATAAATTTAACTATTGGCCTTAACTAAAGCCAAAAAACATAGGAAGACATTCCAATGTTTTTTGGCTGTAATTAAGACATTAGGGGCCAATCGTAAAATTTATAGCATTTTCTGATAGGAGGATTACTTTTTCGCAACCTGTTATGTTGTTACTAAAAACGACCTACCCAATTCCGCCAATTTATAAATCACTTTCAAATCAGTTAATATGGCCAAGTTGGTACTATCCTTGGCAATGGTGGCAATGGCAGCACACACGGCCGACAATACTAAAATATCTTTCGATTTCAAAAGACCCACCACCAGCTCCATAGCTCCCACCAAACTTCGTACCAATTCCCCCGATTCTCGGGCATTCTCCACACATGGGCATATGGCATATGCCGCATAGGCTTGCACCCTTGGATTGGTATTTTTCAGCAGTGACCAAATAAGACGAACAGCATCCAAGTCCTCCAATATACGCATGCTCTCGGCATCTTCGGCACATTCTTTTAAGGCTTTTGCTAAATTTTCCAGCAATGGAGCATGCGAGGAATTCAGAAGAGACACCAGTGATGGTAAGCCATTGGCATTCCTTAGGACATCTCGATTATGTTGAAATCGTACACATTCGGCTATGGCGCCAACAACATTTGTCAGCACCTCATCAGATTCATCATTGAGCAATGTCACCAAATGGTTGACCGTACGTAACTGATCGAATTTCATGACATTTGCATCGGATACGGCACACATCCAAATAGCACCTGTGGCACCAATCAGCAGCGGTTTGTTCTCCCTTATGGTTTTATCTTTAACTATGGCCACCAAGGGTTCCAAGCCGCCAGCTTCTTTTACCAAATCTCTAGTTGCCTGATCGAAAGCACACTTATAGATGGCAGTGCTGCCTTCCATTTTCAAATCCAAACTGGCCGAGTTTAAATGATTGACAATATCCGCTACCATGTTTTCCGTTCTTATTGCCAATTGAAATTTGGGCTAAGAAATAACAGCGAATGATTTTCATTTCAATTAAATGTTTTGGCAATGACACGATATCTACCTGAGATGCACATTTTTGAATTGTTCCCATAATGGGTATGACCACATCGATGTGACAGGATTTCAGTAGACGAGCCATTAAAGGGACTATTCCACTTTTGCGCATTATCTCCTTGTTGTGTCGTGAATCAGACAAAGACCACAGAGCTCTGGCTCCGGCCCGGGCCATATTCAACAGTTCAAGTTCTTCAAAATTAAGCTCTTCGCGTGGTGTCTGTAAAATACTAAAAAAAGGTGGAACAATAATAATGGGCGAGAAAAATTTAAAGAGAACATGTGAGAAGGAGGTGCTCACTTTTCAAGAAAATGTATATCGTTTAACTTACTGCAGTTTGATATCCAATAAATCCACCAACTTTGGAATGCCACCACAAACTCGAACATATTTCCTCGCCAATCGCACCTTAGCTACATTGGCCAAGGTCTCCGCCGCCACTGTTTTTAAGTTATTCAACGATGAATTCAAGATATCTATAATCAGTGGAATGCCATCCAAGTCCACAATGGTCTTTCGAATATCAATATTCAATGAAATATCTGCCAAAACAGTCAAGGCACCCAGACGGCACTTGTCGTCGTTACACTCCAATATATTCACCAATACATCCAAACCGCCAATGTCCTGAATGGCAAATTGATTAATTTGCGTTGTCAAGTCATAGTCCTGAAGGCAGCACAAAGACACAATGGTGGCCGTTTGATTGCCAGCCTTTATGTACTTCACCAATTTCTGAATGTTATAATAATCGGCTGGTACTTCCGATGAACGGGCCACATCCTTCCAACGTTCTTCTTCGTCGGTCGATGATTCCACTTCAGTGGAATCCGAATCGGGCGCATAAACAGCTTGCTTAATGTTCATTTGACGGTCGGGACAACTGCCACAATTCTTGGCATTATTTTGTGTGCGCCTTGAGCGACGAGATTTTGTGGTCGCATTTTTAATATTTTTCTGCGATTTTTTATCCTTAGCACTGTCCATGGGTGAATTGGTAAAGAGGGGATCGAATGTTACCAACGAAATCAACCGTTTTCAATGGATTCCACAAAATGTATGAAATATGTTTTAGTACTAAAATCAAATTGGAATAAACAAGCCATGTTACCATATCAACATTTTATGCCACATAAATATGGAGAAGCCATCAAGCGGGTGTATCCATGGGGGAATAACAAAACTCACAATCCATACCAGGTACATAGGCCAATAGAACTCCTCTAAACATTTATTTAACATGCTACATCGATTAACGGAAATTTTTGGTCACTCTTTCCAAAATATTTCCATAGATTTTTTTATAGAGGACGGGTTTTATAAAACTGGAGCTCTGATTGTATTCGTCAAAATTTTTCATTTTCCGTAAAAAACAAACATTTTTAACAAAACTATTTGGATTCAAATGTGTTCCACTTTGAACTACAAACTGCAGTAAGATCGGTAGGAGAATGCAGTTATAGTTTTCAAAAAGCCATACAATGGCTTGGGCCGTTATATGGGGGCCATACCAAAACGGGGGCCAATACAGGGTGAGATAAAGAAACTGCAACCACATTTTTTTAATTTTATTGAATGAAAGCAGAGAATGTCGAAATAGCATCAAATTTTAGAATAAGTTTAGATTTGTTCGAATCGGTCACCTTTGGCACGAATTATGGCCCTCAAACGGCCAATGAAACCGTCACACGCTGCCCGAATGTTGCTCTGCGGTATTTTGGCCCATTCCCGGCGAAGCGCTTGCTTAAGGTGATCGACACTTTGGTATTTTTTAGAGCCAACCTTGCATTCCAAAATACTCCAGACACAATAGTCGAACGGATTGGTATTCGGAGGTTTTTGTGGCCATTGTGCGCTGGATATGAAGCGAGGAACATCATTTTGTAACCATTCTTGGGTGGTCCTGTTGAAATGACCAAGGTCGTGCCCAAAGCTTTATACACCCTCCAGAATATTTTCGCGATAATATTCGGCATTTATTCTGATACCACGGTCGATTAATACGAGCGGAGAGCGACCATCGGCTGCTATGGCGGCCAAGCGAAGCAACTCTTTAGCTCTATTTTCTTTTTTTTGCGGTGTAAGTTCTTGCACTTTTTGGAATTTCAATGGCTTTACCCCGAACTCATTTTTCAATATTTGCCGAATGGAATATTGCGATATGTTCAGCCATTTTTCGGCAACTGTGACGCGGGTTTCGATCAAGTCTCTTCTTTACTTTTCGAACCATTTCTGCTTATGTTGCTGTTTTCTTCCGTCCACTTCCTAGACGTCGGGCTATGCTATCAGTATCACGGTAACGAGCGATGGTACGAGACACAAAATATTTATTCACAGTTTATTGCTGGAGTGCTCTAACGATAACCACTTGTGGTTTTCCAGCCAAATATAAAGGAATCACACTATCACGCTTGAATTCCATCACGAATAACTTTTTTTCTGGAAAATTCTCACCAAAATGCTTTTGTACGCTTGTAAACTGGAATAATTTTAACAGCTGTCAGACGAGTGGCTTAGAAATGGCAGCAGTCTGAAGTTGGTTGCAGTTTTTTCATCTCAGCCTAAGACAGGTCCACGTCTTCGAATAGCCCCCACATAATGGTAATTGTGATTTTAGCTACATTATTGACCGATATTTTTTAGTTTCGTATTTGAATATTATAATGACTTACGACAAAAGTTGCCTATGCAGGTCCACGTATTTGTATAGACCCAAATATAACTGTTATATTCGGTATTTTTAATATTTTTTAACAGAACTTTTAACGGATTTTATTATTATTATTTTTTTTTTTTTTTGAAAATTTCCAAATTATTTCTAAATGGTGGATGGTATTCAATGTTCAGTCCGGCCGAACTTACTGATTTTCTACTTTTTTTTTCAAATATTTTAATACCGTTGGAAGAATTTATCAAAAAAGTTAAGAGCAATTATTACCGGAAGAGTAAATAAAATTATTTTTCCCCTAATGTCACAATACATAAAATATTGTATAAAGGTCCACGTCCTCCTATTTGCTTACCTGGAACAAATCCAACGTTTACTTTTTACAAATAATTTATTTACCACAACAGTCGGAATACTTCTCCCATAATTTTAACATTGGCCAATGTTGCTGTTGTTAACATACTTTTACATTCAATTGTCAGATAATCTAACATACTTGGAAAGATAAGAGAAGCAGGCAACCACAATTATGGTCAACATAGGTCAACGAAAAGTTTAATTGAAAACGTCACATCAGACTACGAAAACGATGGTTGGCTGGGACAAACGTAAAATATTTGTAAAGAAGGCTCTCAGTACTTAACCAGTTGCCATTTTGTAAAATTCGTGATGAGGATAGCGCGCATCTCAACAATTCAAATATCCATTCAATTGTATCTTCAAATAGGAAATTTCAATACAGGACAATGTCAAATAGAAACGAGGTTATTTTTTTCAGAAAATTTATCGTTTTAAATACAACATTTCAGCAAATTCTATTTCCAGTTATCCATCTGATCCCAACATGGAATCGCTTCGGCTACTTTTAGCTCAGATATTAGTGGTGTCCCGCATAGAACGTTGTTTTGTTGTCATTGCCGACGATTGGTACGATCCCGTCTACAATAAGGCATTCTTTCAATACTTCCATGAACCGTTGACACATTTCTATATCAAAATCAAAGATTCCGAGGATTTGAAAGCACCAAATTATCAAACAGTTCGGGTATTGAAACAAATCAAAGTTTTCAATTGTGACATTCACTTCATTACCCTGCTGAATGGGGGTCAGGTGAAACGTTTGCTTATGTTTTTGGAAAAGTATCGAGTCCTTAATACCAAACGTAAATTCGTTTTTATTTATGACGAACGTTTTATAACTGAAGATATGCTGCACGTTTGGTCAAATATGATATCGTCTATATTCGTTAAACCTTTGGAGGAGGATGGAAGGTAGGTGGACAAGGGGTTGTGACCTGTTTTAAATTATAAATGTGCCTAAATTCATTTTTAGTTTCGTTATATCGACAATAGCATATCCAAATATTTTGAATGGCATTGTAGTGACCAAACGTTTGATAGAATGGCCCAAGGGAGGGCATATAAGAAAAATCCAATTGTTCCCAAATACATCGACGGACCTGAAAGGTATGTAGTTACAAATACTTTACGGGTTTCTGATGCACTTCTAAATACGCCCAATATTAAAAAAAAAAAAAAACAAAATCGTAGTAAAAACAAGCAAAAAAGCAACCAAGTTCGACCGAGCCGAACTTTTAATACCATCCACCATTTGGAAGGAACCTGAAATCATCAAAATAACGAATATCGGGAAATATCGTTATTTTTGTCGTAGGCTGTAGTACACATTATGAACTTCAAATACCAAATTTGAAACATTTGCGGTGAATAATGCCGCTTAAATAACCAAAATACCGAAAAAGGGAGGTACAATTATATGGGGGCTATACCAAAACATGGACCTACATCACACATTTTAAATACCAAAGGTCCTGCAGACATAATACACATTTGAGCAACATTTTATCAACCTACTTCATTTCGTTCAGAAGCTAGAGTGATTTCCACAGACGGGCGGACAGCGCTAAATCGACATAGAATTTTATGCTGATCAAGAATATATATACTATGTGGGGTCTAAAATGTATATTTTGAGGTGTAACTAACGGCATGACAAACTTTATATACCCTCCATACTATAGTGGAGGGTATAATAACATATTTTAATACGCAAATTTTAGGCTATCAATTACCCATTGCTGTATATCAGCATATTCCCATGGTGGTTGCTAGTGAAGGCGAATCGGGAAAGTCATTCAATGGACTGGAGGTTGAAATCATCAAGTCCCTGGCTAAAGTTATGAACTTTCAACCCGACTTCTATGAAAGCCGTGATACGGAGACGGAACGTTGGGGCACAAAACTACCTAATGGATCTTACAGCGGCCTAATCGGACAAATAGTAAGTTTGAGATCGATTGAATTGCGAAATGTCAAAAATGACACTCTTGCATTTCAGAGCTCTTATTCTGCGGTTATGGTCATTGGCGATTTACATATGTTTACGGCCTATAGTGCTGTCCTTGATTTCAGCCGGCCTCACAGCTATGAATGTTTAACATTCCTTACACCCGAATCATCGCAAGACAATTCATGGAAAACATTTATTCAACCGTTCAGTTCCAGTATGTGGACTGGTGTAATGCTATCACTGTTTCTGGTGGGCACGGTTTTCTATTTCCTCTCATTTTTACACGCCCTATTGATGCGCAAGAAGTCCTCAAAATTAAATGCAAAATCCTTTTTTGCACCTTTTCGCAAAAGACACTCCATTAGCCATATGAACATTCAACGATTTCGGGATGTGAAATTTCGTCGCTATTTGAACCAAATGACTGTGGCCCAAAGGCAAGAGGATTTATTTGATAATTTTTCAAATTGTATTCTGTTAACCTATTCGATGCTGATGTATGTCTCAATGCCAAGAGTGCCAAGAAATTGGCCTTTGCGGGTTTTGACAGGCTGGTATTGGCTATATTGTATATTAATAACGGTCAGTTATCGGGCCAGTTTTACGGCAATCTTGGCAAATCCTGCTCCAAGAATTACCATAGACACTTTGGATGAGTTACTGCAAAGTCATTTAACCTTATCCGTAGGATCTATAGAAAATAAGAAACTCTTTGATAATGCTTTCGATCAAGTACTTAAGGAGTTGGGTACAAGCACAGACGTTTTGACAGATATTACGGGTGTGGTAAGTAACAGAACTACCAAATTAATAATTAAAGGAAGCCCCTGTAATCCTTTGTTTATTCTTTTTTTTTTTTTGGTTTTCAGACTGAAAAAATTGCCAAAGGTGGATATGCCTACTACGATAATCAATACTTTTTACAGCATTTACGCCTAATGTCTACGGAAAGTAGTGATGACGATGCCGTTCTGCACATAATGAAGGACTGTGTCGTTAAAATGCCTGTTGCCTTGGGATTGACCAGAAATTCACCTCTAAAACCACATATAGACAAGTATTTGGAGCGTTTAATGGAGGCTGGACTAATTAACAAATGGCTGCAGGATACTGTCAAACATTTTCCCAACGATGAACTAGCCCCCGCCGAGGCCATTATCGATTTGCGCAAATTTTGGAGCTCATTTGTGCCCTTGGTATTTGGTTACTTTTGTGGTTTCGTGGCTTTGCTGTTGGAGCATGTTCATTTCCGTAAAGTCGTAATGCCGCATCCTTTGTATGACAAAGCTAACACCAGGTTGTATTATAATTTCAAACGTAAATTTCCCAACAACTGAAGAATAAAGCGATGACATACATAAGTTCCGAAGATGATTATCGTTGTTATATATTTAAGCATGTATTTTATTATTCATTTTTTACACAGTTATAGTAATAATA